CCTGCCATTTAGTTGTCTTAGTTGTTTGAAGGTTTGATTTTGTGTACCGTAACTTGATGTTACTCTCTACTGTCTGCTTTTCTTATCCTGTGGTTGGGTGCCTGCCTTTTCATGGTTAAGTTGGGTGTCACTTTCTGTGTAGAGGATCCCTTGCAGAACATCTTTTGTAATGGTGGCTTTGTGGTTCACATATTGTTTTAGTTTCTGCTTATCATGGAAAGGACGTTGATTGCTCCATCTATTTTTGAATGATATAGGGCTTTGCTGTGTAGAGTAATCCTGGGGTTGAAGTGATTTTTCATTTTCTTGTGCCGGAAATATTCTCCCCACGCTCTTCTTGTTTTAATGTCTTCTGTTTTGAGAAGTCTGCTTGATCTCAGGAATTTAAAGTCTTTGAATCTTGATGTGAATTATTATGTGTTCATGGTTTGCTCTCTTTGGGTTGATTTGATTGATGACCTCGCACCTCCTGTACCTGAGTGTTGGTATTTACCCTCAGATTAGGGAGATTTTCAGTCATTATTTCTTGGTTTTTTTTTTTTTTTCCTTTTCTCCTATTTCCTTCCTTCCACTTTCCCTTTCCTTTTCCTTTTCTTTTGGATAGTAGTGGGGTTTGAATTCAGCCACATTTTTGCTAGGCAGGCACTCTACCACTTGAGCAGTGCCCGAAATCCTTTTTTAGTTTATTTATTTTTCAAATAGGATTTTGTGCTTTTTTCTGGGCTGGTATTGAACTGCAATCCTCCTGGCTCCACCTCCCAAGTAGTTAGCATTATTGGTGTGAGCCACTGTGCCCGGCCCATTATTTCTTTATACTGTCTGCTCCTTTTTCTTTCTGCAACTAAATTTATGGTCTCTTGATGGTGTCCCATAATTCAAGTGGGTTTTATTCTTTTTTATTCTTGCTCCTGTGACTGGAAAATTTCAAATGCACTGTCTTCCAGTTCACTTATTCTTCTGCCTAATAGAGTCTACTGTTCAAGATTTTCATTGAATTTCCCAGTTCAATCACTGTATTCTTCATCTTTAGTATTTTTATTTCTTTGTAAGACTCTGCTGCCCTTTTTCCTGCATTGTTTTCGAAGTTTCATTATATTCTTATGCTTCACTGAACTTTATGACTTTTTCTGAATTTGCTGTCAGTCATTTTATAGATCTCCATTTTTCTAATCCTATGCCTTACATTGTTGTCTGTGCATTAGAGGAGCACTCTGTTCTGGTGTTCATAGGTTTTCTTTGACAAGAATAGTGTTATTATTTAGTCTAGCCTGTGAATTTGTAGGGCCAGCTGGTGACAATCCCATGATGGCAAAGCTCATTGTGTGTTCTCTAGTTGACTTGGTGGCTTCCAGATGGGCTGGTTACAAAATATATTTTCTGACTGGGTAATTCCACTGTTTTGGATCTGTAATTGGGCCAGCTTATAGTCTGGACTCTAAGGTTAGATGGAGTTAATTGCTTAGTATAGGTAGGACCAAATGCTTGTGCCCCTTAAAAATGCACAATTGCGGATTGCCTCTCTGTCAAGTTGCAGTTGTGGAATGGGCTTTGGCTGAGCTCAGTGGCAGTTTGATCTTCTGGATCTACCAGGTCTCACCTTCCCTAAAATGTGCAGAGATGGGAGTTTCCCAGCCCACTCAATGTTATTGGGTAGGCTTTTGACTGCAGAACTATTGCTTGATTTCCTGTATCAAGCTAGTTTAGCCCCTGCTGCTTTGAGAGGTGCTGAGATGTAATTGTTCCATCCAGGTGGGGCCACTGGTAGTATTTTTTGGCTGGGTGGAGCCTTTGCTTGACTTTCTGGGTCAAGCAGGTCTAGCCCATTCACTTCTGCCCTTCTGAAATGGGCAGAGATTGAGCATGGCCTCCAAGCCTGGGCAGGGAGACCAGTAGGCTAGGTTGTACTTCCTTCCTTGCTTCTAAAGGTGACATGCTCAGCTTTGCAGATAGGCCTTGAAGTTGGCTGATATTTTGATTAGATGCTATAACTGACAGGAACACAGAGGTACTGAGATTTTGTTGATCGTTGTGATCTCTGTCACCTTTCTTTGTTTCTACCTGACCCTGTGTACCTTCTGTGAATTGAGATAGGCGTGGGCTCCAGGGAAGCAGGATGCCAGGGAAGTTGGATGTCTGTGGACCCAGGAACATTATCTCTAGTGTTGTACAGATTTGGGGAGGGGGAAACATAGTCAGAGGGACCTTTGTAATTCAGATTTCATTTAATTTTGCAGATCACATGTATTATCTTAGGCCTTTTTTTAAGTGTTAGTGTTTAGAGAAGGATGTTCCAATATGTGTATGGTTGCTAGTTGAACTTTCTGTTGGAGGTTGCAGAGCCTGAAACTTCCTATTCTACCATCTCGTAGAGATCTCGTACTGAATGTTTTTTAAAAATAATTTTAGTTTGGAATACTTTTTTAGTCTATTGGGGTAATTATTTTCTTCTTATATTTCTGCATATTAAATGTAACTTTAAAGATTGCCTTCAATTGTGCGACTTAGAGATTGAATAGGAAAATGTTTTGTCTTTTGATAATACTTGCATGCTGAAATCACTAGAAAGGTATGCTTTTGGTTTGTATAGCAAATAAACCTTATATAATTAGATATTCATGAAACCGTAGTCTAGTGAAATGTTTTTCTTCTAGTTTTCAGTACTTTTTTTACTCTGCTACATAAGTTGTGTTAAAAATGAAAAAGATTTCAGATGGAATTTTTCATGTCATTGCATATTTATATGAATTATTTTAAATTAAATTGATTGTCTAGGCTTATGTTTATATTGCTATTAAGGAACATTTTCCTGTGGATATTTGGAATTGACACATAAATAATATTTCTATTATGTGTGGAAATATATATGTTGCACACATATTTTATACCTGTATAGATATATACCTATATTTATATTTGATGTATATGTTTGTCTTACATAGTCCTGCTTATACACACATATATATGTATGTCCATATCTGTGCAGCAGGATAAGATACATTGGTCCTTTTAAATTTGAGAATATTCACAGTTCTTAAAGAATTATACTACTTTGATTTCCGAATGGAATTTGAGTTTCAAATTATTTTTTCCCTTCATTTTCCTAGGATTTGAAATGTTTTAATGGAGTTTGATAAGATATGATATAGCATAGATGTTGACTAGCTGTGTTAGCAAGTGGATATATTGTTTTTTTGGTTGGCACAGTCATAGTGTTCTAAGGCCTTTTAATACCATATTTTGGCAGTGTAATGTAATTTTTTCTTAGTTTTAATCAAAAGTAAAATAGTTGGGAAACAAACACCATTTTTCAGTTACATCTTATAGAAAGAATAACTTAAGAAATATGAAGGAATTGAATAGACTTACAAAAATATTAAGTCTCCTTATGAAGTATTTGAAATAATTTATGTTACAAACATTTTAATGTAATTCAGAAGTAAAAATTCTATTTTCTTTCTACTTTAAATTGGTTGCACTCTTAGGGCAACTACTGCTAATAGCTTTTTGAATAGCCTTTCAGAAATGTTATTTTCATGTGTGTATGTGTAGGTATGTATATGAGGGTATGATGGAATTGTGACTGCACACATGATCCATACTTATCCTTTTAAAAAAATACTCTTATAAGATATATTGAATGTCTTAAGTATATTCTTTTTCACATACATTGAGGAAAAGTAGATAGGTTGCTATACATTAAAATATAACTATTTTTCTTTCTAAGTGTTTATTTGAAGACTTGTAGTTATTCTAGTGATACATATTAGTAAAATTTTATTAGTGCAGTTAATCACAGGTTATATATTAAAACCTTACTTTTTATGAAAACAGAAATTTAAAATTTATATGATATATCTTGCATTAATACATGTTGTTAATGTCCATCATACTGAAAATAGTGGGTTACTTTGGGTAGTAGGATTACTGTGAACGTTGTGTGGGAGGAGGAGTGAGAAGGGAGGGTTGTATTCTCTTATTTCTATAATGCAATACTTGAGTCTCTTTTTCCTTCCCACCCGCTTGGGATTGAAACTAGGACCTTGCACATACTGTAATTGAGCTACATCTCCAGCTTGAAGTTACCTTTTTTTTTTTTTTTAAGAGCAATGAAGACATTCTACTTTTATTAAAATGATGATACAACATGAGAAAATGTTTATTTTTAAACATACAGTATCATGCAGGTTTTTTTCTTTCCATTAGTTCTTCCTTCCTTCCTTTTTTTCCTCTTTTTTAATTTTTAAAAATTTTTATTGAGTCAGCATCTTGCTGTGTAGCCCAGTCTGGCCTTGAACTCAAGATCATCCTGCCTTATCCTCCTGAGTATTGGGATTAAAGGTATGTATCACCACTCCTGGCTGAGGTAAGTTTTTAAAAAAATGTCTTTACAACTGAACTCATTATGTGCTTTAATTAATTTTGATTTTAGGCTTGTGTGGATGTAAGAGCCAGTTCAGTATTTTGGCAACAGATGGAATTTGCAGAAAGCTTCCATGGTCATCCCAAGTTGCCGGAATGGTTATCTACACATCCTTCTCATGGAAACCGTGCTGAGCACTTGGATAGGCTTATACCACAGGTGAGCTAACACTACATGAGGCAGGATCTTAGCCTTTTGTATCATTTATTGTTAATGCTGTTATTTCTTTTCCATAGAAAAACAGTTATAGTGTGTCAGCTGTTTCAATTACTATAATTATAGACTATCAGTTTTCAAAAGATTGGGCTAAAAATATTTTCTGTACTTCTTGGGGAATAAGTTTCTATGTACACTTGACTTTTCTCAATAAAGGTAATCTGACTTTTAAACTATTTGATAAAAGTTTAACACTTGAGGCATATCTCTTCAATATATTGATAATATTTTAACCCTTTCCTTGATGATATAAGCTTTTTATTAAAAATACCAGTTAATAACTTGTACAAAAGTTTGAGTTAAATAGATATTAATTTCAATTGTTTTCTTAGAAAAACTGTTCATATTAGTTTACTTCTGGTTATTTCTTGGTAAAGACAGAGGGACATAAGGCTCTTCTTTCATAGAGTTAATGGGTCAATGTGAGCACCACTACTAGGTAGAACCAAGTAGTTTCACTGTCCTCTGAAAATCTGTTGATTTGTTACATCATTCAAAACATTTTCTGTGGCTTTCATATCAGTATAAAATGGATGTCAGTGAGACAGACACTACATTCTCTTCTGTCTCATTTGCCTTAAGTTGATAGTTGGTTGTGAAAGCAGAATATTCTTTAGCCATTTAGGAACTAGTACTGAGTTATTTGCTTAAGGACAGCACAGTAAATCCAGTTGTATTATAGAAATATCATTCAGTGTGACTTCAAATTTAGCTCAACAGATATTGGGTACCTGTTAAAAGATACAAAGAAAAATGAGATTTGCTTCTTGATATTTGCTTGATGCTAAGATAAGTACAAAATGATTAATATAAGGAATATGATTATCATAAGGAAAGTAGAAACACTGATACGTAGTTTTAAGGAAGAAGACTCTGCATCTAGTTTGGAGGAAGAACCAAGTGCAAGATTTATTCATTCATTCATTTGATCAGTATTTATTGATATTTATTGCTTTATTGATACTTTTATTGGTAATCTACCATTCAGCTCTATTGCTGAATGAACAAGGAAAAGAGTCACAGACTTTTGGAGCTAGCATTCTAGTTAGGTAATACAAATAACAAACATATAGTATGTCAAGCATCAGTAAGCATATTGGGAAAAAATAAATTAGGTAAAAAGTTATAGAGAGGGATGGGCAACAGAGAAAGGGTGCTGTTCTATTGTCAAGGGAGACCTCATTGAACAGGATCCAGAAGAGAGTAGGAGAGCAAATCCTGTGGCTATCTGGAGAGAGTGCCTTTCAAGCTTGAAAAGCAGCTAATGCAGAGAACATGTTGGAGTGTTTAAAGAAGATATGGGTTGAATGGAGTACGTGAGGGGGGAGAACCATTCAAGATGAGGTGCAGAGGGACCAGACCATGGAGGATCTCCTAAGGTATTGTAAGGACTTGACATTTACTTCAGGCTAGTAGAGCATATTGAGCAGAGGAGTGACTTGATGGGACTTGTGTTCTGTAGGGATCACTGGGATTGTAGTGTGGAGAATGGATTATAGTGGGGAAGCGGGGGACACAGGCATTTAGGAGGCTTTTGAACAAGGCTGGTAAGAGATGTGGTGGTTTGGACCAAGAATATGGAAAGAGAAGAGGGGGAGAGGAGTCGGCAGATTCTGGGTATATTTTGAAAGGAGTTTTATTAAAAATTTAAGCATACTTTGTGCCTTTGATGAACATTTGGCAAAGCCAGGTATAGCTTCTCATCCCCTGCCTTGATTCATTTGGGCTGCTTAATTCATTTGGACTGAATGACTTATAAACAACAGAAATGTATTTCTTACAGTCTGAGAGACTGGTATCTGGGCCTTCCCAGTTCATAGACCACACTGGCTTCTAGATATAACTGGTGTCTGGGCCTTCCTGGTTCATAGAACTGTGGCTTCTAGTTGAAACCTTATGGCAACAGGGGCAAGGGAGTTCTCTGCTGTAAGTATGTAAGTGTTTTGGAGGTAACATCTTGTGTAGTCCAGGCTGGCCTTGAACTTATGATCCTCCTGCCTCAGCCTCCTGAGTGCTGGGATTGTAGACCTGTACTACCATGCCTAGCTTGTAGTGTGTTTTATAAATAGGTTACTGATTCCACTTATGAGGGTTTTACTCTCATGGTCAGATCACCTCCCAAATGCCCACTTCCTAATATCATCACTCAGGTTTAGGGTATGAACACATGAATTTTGAGGGACACAAACATTTAGTTGATAGCAACACTTAACCAAATTTTATTTGTACTCTTAATTTAAAGAAAAAGATAAGAGGAAAAAAAATAGCAGTGAAAGTTATCTGAGGTAATATGTGCCAATTATTCATCTTAAAAGGACAGTCTAGGCCTAGGAATTAGTCATCAGTAATTGATGTACTGAGGGTAACCCACTGTAAGAGCCGCCTTGGTGCTACCCAGGACCAACAGACTTTTTAGCACCTTAGGAAGCCTTAACTTATCTCTAAAGTCACAATAAACATATAATTTCTCTTAATATTTACTCAGTGAAATTCTAAAAATATGTGGCCTGTTTAAATTAGATAGTGAATCCTGCTAGCTTTAATTTGAAAACTATCCTAAATTCTGAACATGTCATTTCATCAAATTACTGAAGATTTTCAGAGAGATAAAAAGTGCTTTAGAGAAATCTCTAAAATAATAATGAATTGGTTAGTGAGTATGGAGAAAAATGGTTGGAGAAACAAATGTTACTTGGGAGCCAATGTTGAAGAAAAACAAGAGGTGTTTTTTCTTCTAAAAATAAACTATCCCTGTTTCAAACTTAATTTGAAAACCTTAGATAAATTTCTTATATTTCCCCCCCAAGTGATTAAATTCAATTTGAAAGCAATAAAAGTCTACTACAATATTGGGACTGATTCAGTGGTTGATGTGAAACTGATAGTGCAAGAATATGTTGTTAATTAGAATACAGAGTCATAATGCAAAGATTAGAATTCCCTACTATCATAGGTCTAATTTCTATAATGAAAGAAAGCAATTCCTCAGGCAGTGTGTGGAATTATATGAGTCTATATACTATTAGGAACTACATTTTAAAATTACATGTTATTTAGGATTTTTTTCTAGTCAAGTGAGTACAATGCTATATTTTACAAAAGGCTCCTGACCTTTGATGTTTTTTTGACAGATATGGCTTAAGTGATGTGCATCTCAAAGGTACTTGGGTAAGTAGCAGCGAGCACAGACAAATCTAGATCAGAGACAATAATTTCAGATGATTTCAGAGTCACTCCAAAAAGGTGATAGTTTCAGCAATGAACTTGGACAAGCGAGACAAATTCATCTAGGAATTGAGTAGAGAACAAGATGCAGGGACAGAATAACTCCAGAGAAGTTTTTTTCCACACTTAGTTGGTGGGAAGAGAGGATAAGAGTGTATTATGCATCAGTTCATAGGAGAAAAACCAAGAAAGCAAGAGTCTGTGGTTCTATAATGAGAATACAACTTTTGGTAATTTTAATTTTGAAATTTAACTTACTGAAGATTGTCAATTTCTTGTTGGATTCCTTGAATATCATTACAAAAATATATCCTTTGTTACCATAGTATATCAACATTTAAAGTATTTAAAATTTAAATTTATGCATTCAGTAGCTGTTTATTATAATTATGAGCCATTTGTAGATGTTCTAGGTGAAGTGAATTAAATAGAAATCTACACCATCATAAAACTTATTCTATAGTAAGGGGAGGTGGATAATAAATAGATGAGGTGGGAGAGATGTTGTTTCGTGTCTCTTCTTTTTTATTTTTCTTTTGGTGATACTGGAGTTGAATTCAGGGCTTCATACTTACTAGACAGACAATCTACTGCTTATTGCTTGGGCCACATACCTCTAGCCCTCTGGTTATTTTGGAGATAGGATTTTTTTTTTTTTTTTGGTCTAGGCTAGCCTGGACTGTGATCCTTCTGTTTCTTGCTGTCACTGGGATAACAAGCCTACACCACTATGGCTAGCCTTTTACCATTGAGATGAGGTCCCACAAACTTTTTGCCTAAGCTGACCTTGAACTACAACTTCAGCCTCCCAAATAGCTAGGATTATAGTCTTGAGTCAACAACACCTGGCTTGGTGTCTCTTCTTATAAGGTCATGAATCCTATAGGATCAAAACCATATGACCTCATTTGACTTCAATTACCTTCTTTAGGCTATAACTCCAAATATGTTCATATTGGGGGCTAGAGGATCAAATATGAACTTTGATAGGAAACAATTCATTCTTTAGCAGACAGGTTATATGTGAGCAGAGATGGGAGGGGTCCTGGAATAGCAGTTTCAGTGGGGTTTAGTCAGAGAAAGTGGCCCCTGTGAGGACTTTTGCTCAGAGATGGAAAACTAGTGGAGGATTCTGAGCAGAAAACTAGAGGAATGGCATGATCTGGCTTGTGCATGGAAGGATGTGATCTACTAATCCTTCAGGGTAGTACAGTTATATAATTTTGGAGTACTTTGACATAGTATATTGTTCAGAAAATAGACCAGTTTCTTTCTTGTTTTGTTTTTAAATCAAGATAGCACCCCCAAATAAGAAAAAAAAAAACCCTTGCTATTTTTTTAATAT